GCTACATTACAACACCTTATAATTAAAGTATGTTGACACAGAAGTTTGGCAGTGGCTACATTACAACACCTTATAATTAAAGTATGTTGACACAGAAGTTTGGCAGTGGCTACATTACAACACTTTATAATTAAAGTATGTTGACACAGAAGTTTGACAGTGGCTACATTATAACACCTTATAATTAAAGAACATAAACAGAGCTGTTTGGCTACATTATAACACTCTGTAATTAAAGTGAAAGGCTATGATATAACACTTTAAATGTACAGGAAAGCATAAAATATATAATACACCTCCTTGTTTGCTTCAGTATTTACTCTTGAACTGTTTTTTCATGATACAAGTTCAAGTAATCAGATATAAACATACCTTAATTTTAGCCAGCTGAATCTCCACTGCTTCCCTGCTTCCAGTGGGTATTCCACATTCTTCCAACAGCGCTGTCATCTTCTTTATCCAAAGTCTACTCTCATCTACTTTATCTTTGTAGTGCTTGTGTTGATCCAACTGTTGTTCCACTTTACTATGGACATCCTATCATAAATCAATGTATAAAGAAAACTAGATCATAAACAAATATAATCTTATATTCATAATGATCAGAAATATTCTTATAACTCAACTGTTAAACGAAATAGAAAGAATACAAAAATAATTCATACACTTCTTAATTGCCATCATGATTAAACAGGTATGTTGCAGTCACAAAAGACACTGTTTTCTTGAAGTTCACGTTTATTCATTATTGCCATATCTAAAACAGCTTGATGAAATGAAATTATATAATGATCTAACTATTGATACTCAATGAACTTATTCAAATAACTTAAATAATTGTGTAAGTAATACAAAGTCTAGTATGAACTGATGATATATAAATGATGTTTTCGTTTTATAAATTTTCAAATAACAACTTTTAATAAAAACATATCTAATCAAACAGACTTCAAAAAATTATGCCCAATTAAATTTCTTAGACATAGATTGTTTGAAAAATTTATTATAAATTCTGACCTTGCATAAGTTGAAAATGACTTGGTAGCGAGAGTTGAGGATGCTCAGTTGGTTACGGATGTATGTATCAAGATGTGAGGTTAAGAGCCCCTGAGCTGAGAGAGTTAATTTATCAACTGATTCCTTTCCTTTCTCCAATTCCTCCAACAAACCCTGTACACAAAAAAATTTTTATTCAACAAAGTTGCAGAAAAATAATAATTAGGTTTTTGTAAACATGTTACTTCTTCAAAAATAATAATTAGGTTTTGTAAACATGTTACTTCTTCAAAAATAATAATTAGGTTTTTGTAAGCATGGTACTACTTCAAAAATAATAATTAGGTTTTTGTAGGAATGGTACTTCTTCAAAAATAATAATTAGGTTTTTGTAGGAATGGTACTACTACAAAAATAATAATTAGGTTTTTATGAACATGTTACTTCTTCAAAAATAATAATTAGGTTTTTGTAAACATAGTACTTCTTCAAAAATAATAATTAGGTTTTTGTGAACATGTTACTTCTTCAAAAATAATAATTAGGTTTTTGTAAACATAGTACTTGTTCAATACCAATTCACCAATCATCTTATTTTATATAACTTTGAAAGTAAAAGACTTAATATTTTTAAAAAAGTAATTAATTAAAATCTCAAACTTTTTGGAATTCTTTTCAGTTGAGTAAATTTCATTGATTTGTTGGTTTATAACTGTCACCATAACTGTCATCTGAATTATTACCATGTCATAAAAAACAAAATCAGGAGATGACAGTATCAAAAGTGTATTATTATCATCAAAAAACCAAAATTCAACAAACTTTTCACATCTTAATTGTAGGCCTGACATTAAAGAGACCAAAATCAACAAATAAAACACACATTGTAATACTTAACAACGCTCTCTGTGTGTTCTAGGCCTGATATTAAACTAAACAAAACTAATAAATAAAACAAACACTGTAATACTTAACATTATTTTACTGCCTGATTTTAAACTAAACTAACATATAAAACAGACATTGCAATAGTTAACAATGGTATTCCTGCCTTCTAGGCATGACTTTAAAATAAACAAAACCAATAAATAAAATAGTCCTTGCAATACATATAATGATGTCACTGCCTTCTAGGCCTGACTTAAAATCCATATATAAAAGAGACCTTACAATACATAAAATGTTTTCACTGCCTTTTAGGCCTGACTTTAAACTATAGACAATAAGAAAAAAAAAAACAAATATAAAACAGACCTTCAATACTTAACAATGTCTCTCTTCCTTCTAGACCTGACTTAAAACTATAGATATTAAGAAAACCAGGAAATAAAAACAGACCTTACTCCCCGTCTTTTCTAGGTCTTACTTTAAAAATAACAAAATCAACAAACAAAACAAACCTTAGAATATTTAACCATGCCTTCCTTCTCTTCCAGGCTTGATTTCAAAGTAACTTTCTGGGTTTTGATGTCTGCTTCCATTAGCTGCAACCATTCACTTACTTTTTCATACTCATCTTTGAACTCACGAAGTTGCACACAGATACTCTCTGAAAGATAAAAAGTGGTTGTTATAAGTTTGGCTGAAAAAAACTCACCATAAAATAAATATGCAAGAAATCCATTCTGTAAATTAACAGAAATAATAAAACTTTTCAAAAACTGATCATTAACTGCTTATTACTATGACTTTATAAGATGGGCATGATATGTTTCTCACCTAGTTTCTCCTTCATTTGTTCAATTTCAGAAAACAGGCTGTCAAAGTCATCTTTAAGAGCAGTTATTTCTGTTGAAATCAGATTCTGACCAGCTTCAGAACTAGCCACTTTAGCCACTTCTCCACAATGATCCATATTGTCCACCTTTAACTTACCTTGAGCTTTCTTGGTTAATAATTCCTAAAAGGACAATAAATTAAATTTAAGTTCAATGAGTTTCAACAATAACTCATTAGATAATTAGAATTAACAGTTATTTCAATAAAGTGTACCACTTTTAATCTGTTTGTTTGTTGGTAAGCACAAAGCTACACAATAGGATATTTGTCCTGTGCCCACCATGAGTATCAAAACCCAGTTTTTAGCAGTGTGAGCTGTCAGACTTATAGCTGAGCCACTAGGGCCTTTTAACCTGAAAAGTCCCTTTATATCACACACAAATGTTTTTTTATTAAAATATTAGATTTAGTTACAGCTTAACAAATTAAATATTTCAGTTTTTTTGTTTTGGATATTTTCACAAAGTTACATAAGTATTTTATCTGTGATAGCCATCCCTAATTTTAAAATTGAGACTAGAGAAAAAGTATTTTGTCAATAGTACTAACTACTACTACTAACTTTTGAGCTACTCTTGTCTGACTGAATAGTAAGATTTGATTATCACTCTTATAATGCACTTAATGTGCAGAGTGGGATTTTTTACATATGAGATGCAAACCATGAACCCTCAGATTTACAGATCTGCATGTTGAACACTAGCATATGCCTAGCTCAAACATTGTGATAGAAAAAAAAAGAGTTGTTAAATCTGAAGAACTATTGTTAACCAAAGCCTCCAAAGAAATTATCTAACATAATAAATCCTACCTCAACTTTAGCTCTGTATTTTTAATTGATTTGAGGTTTTGGTTTAGTTTAATGTGCTTAATTTTACTTTCTAATTTTTCTTATGTTTTATTGATTGGCATATTTATTGCAAAGTAACTTAGCAGTCTAGATAGAAGCTGTAGTTACTAACAATATTTTACTATAAAGGTGTAAATTGCCACTATTGAAAAAAGTTGGTAACACTGACCTTTAATATTGAAACACTTGTCTAAAACCAAGCTATAGTTACTAATAACATTCTTAAGAAAATCAATCATACTCACCTCTAATGTTGAAACACTTGTCTCAAGGCTGAGACGATCACTGACAGAACGAGTCATAGGGGGAATCTTCTCTCGCAACCTCTTCATCCAAGATACTAGATCATCACAGCTATTTTTGAATGCTGAATGGTCCTTATAGTTCTGGTCATTCTGTAAGACTTGAGCCTGAAGTGTAAAATCATAAAACAGTGTATTACTTAAAATGTTAAACAAGAATAAATTTGTTCTTTCTGCATCAGTGTTGGCTCACAGTTAATAAAGAGGTCTTGGTTGGTGATATTTTAACACCATCTCTAAGAATAAAGAACATTAAAACAGGTACTTATTTTATACATCTCGATTTATTTATGTGTGAACTTGAGTCATTGGTCTTTTTTAGCTGTAAACATTTTGGTAAAGTCATCATGCCAGACAAATCCTAACTGTAAAACTGAAATAACCTCCAAACCAAGATAAATCATCATACTTTCAACCAGACAACTGAACATTATGAAACACACTTTTAATTGTTTATATTCTTAAATAATCAGAGAATTGTTAAAGTTGTACCAGCTGTTGATCACCACAATCTGGAGAGGCTTGCTTACTCTTTGTGTTACAAACTTTTCTTAAAATGATTTTGAGTGATTGATTGGCTCCATTAGCTATATGGCCAGCCTCAAAACTTTTGTTGAAATTGGAAATGAATGCTTGGTTCCTCTTAGCTGTTTCTATCAGAGAAATTGTGCAGATAAAATAAATTCAGAGGTACAACCACTAGCTCTGTGCATCACACCACAAGATGTCACCTCAATGAATGGTAGAACCACCAGCTCTGTGCATCACACCACAAGATGTCACCTCAATGAATGGTAGAACCACCAGCTCTGTGCATCACACCACAAGATGTCACCTCAATGAATGGTAGAACCACCAGCTCTGTGCATCACACCACAAGATGTCACATCAATGAATGGTAGAACCACCAGCTCTGTGCATCACACCACAAGATGTCACTTCAATGAATGGTAGAACCACCAGCTCTGTGCATCACACCACAAGATGTCACATCAATGAATGGTAGAACCACCAGCTCTGTGCATCACACCACAAGATGTCACCTCAATGAATGGTACAACTACCAGCTCTGTGCATCACACCACAAGATGTCACATCAATGAATGGTACAACTACCAGCTCTGTGTATCACACCACAAGATGTCACCTCAATGATTGGCATAGAGAGGGAAATGAAGCTTTTTGGGTGTTTTGCTACAAAAATATGCAGTTTTTCAATAATTTTATGCCTAAAAGAAAGTAAATAAAGGTACTAATATAAAAAGGTAAGAAATACTTTATTTTTTGAAAATCTTTCAGGAGGCTCAACTTCCTTTTTCTCCTGTGATGAGTCACCACTCTTCTACACTGTATGTTTAATATATTAGGTCATCAAGGAATTAATGTCGTGTTTTGGAACACTTTCATTAACCACCCCTAAAAAACATACATCATGTATAATAGTTACATGAACTGCCTAAACGTCATGTTAGTGTAGTTTATATAAGGTGTGAAGTTTAGTATACTCTAATCCCTTTTAGTGATGGCACATGACGAGACACATTTCACATGTAATGCTGTTTG